GAGAATTATGAGGTGAGTGCTTTTCACTCACCTCATAGTTCTAGGCGACCTGTAGCAATGAGACTGTCACAGGTCGGCTCAGTAGATCGGGAGGTGAGCGAACACATACCGGCGTTCGCTCACCTCTCGATCCTGTCACGGCTCTCTGACGTGACAGGGGAGGGGCTGGATTCTCCCCTCCCCGCTCCGCCAGCGCTGACTGGCGGAACCAACGGGGGAGGGGGCGGGTACAGCTGGCTCTGCCTCTAGATAGGCAGAACCAGCTGTTAGTCACGCAGCTGGGCGGATTCCGGCATAATTGTCGGGATCCGCTTCAGCTACAGCTCGCGGTATACTGAGCCTAGGGTGACGGGAGGATGCTAGTTTGTGTCTTCCCGTTACCCTAAGGAGAACTATGGGGAAAAACCTTAATCCCACAGTTCTTCTTTAAATAAATAAATCCTTTGGGCTAAATACCAACTACTTACACCATTACCATGGCTTCATCCACCGGCTTTAAATGCATAAATCCCTTTTTATCTGAATTAGGGATGGAAGGGGTGACATGTAAGTAACCCGTCATTGTTGGATATGCCCTGTACTATTTAGCTCCTAACAACAAGTGACAGTCCTGGACAATAATATTCCACTGCAGCTTGTATTACCATCTGTTTCTGGAAGATCTTGGGCATGGTTACAATAAAGCAGTTTGCCATTTGTAAAGTGGAAGTTAAAATAAATGCTGGGAGGTGGGGGGTGGGTTCCTTCTTTCCCCCAGTGCTTTTTTTATTTTTTGTGTACACTCCACACATGCAGCTCATTCACGGCATCTCTAAGATGCCATGAATGGGCCTCATGTCGGGGAGGATATAATTCCTGTGCACATATTAAGTAGTTACATCATCAGTGACCACCCATTGGCCAAAAAGGATTTTCACAGAGCCTGGCAGTGGTGGTGGCAGCGGTGGGGGACAGAGGGTGGGACCGAAGATGGATTTGACAGCACTGGAGGGCACACTTGTATGCTATGCATACTTGCACATTAAGGCAAAAACCACACCCAGCAAACAACGTTTTTCTGCTGCTTTAACCATGTCCCCATATATACTATAGCTATGGACATGCCCTAGACTAGAGCATGTGAGCTGCCTCTGGTCTTTCTTCTGGTCAAGACATATAAAGAACGTCTGTTTGCCCCATCACAAATCATCGGATCTCTCAGATTTTGCTGGGTTTGTGCAAATTTTTATTTTAACATGAGGGTGAGCTGTTAAAAATCAAGGAGGGACAGAAAAAGTGGCAGTGCGGCTTTTTTGTGCACACACCATTACTTTACATAACAGAATGACCTCACAGCATACAATTCCATCCAAAGGCAAAAACAAATGCTTTGAAGATAAAACCAGAAAAGCAACATTCCCATCTATCCCCCAGGAGGACAGAATCAGCTACCAGAAACAATGCAACGATGAACAAGTATTAACTGCTGTTCTCACAGGAGGAACACCGTCTTCACACTAAAATGTCCAGTGCCATTCATTTGTCACAACGGTCCGATCTGCTTTCCGCTGAGTTCTAGAAAATCATCCCAATAATCACAGCAGGAATTCACCTCTTCATGAATAAAACAATGGAAGAGAAGTCTAAAAGCTATGCATACGCTATGAAAGTTTTAGCCTGGCGTGATGAAGATCTAAATGTGTCAACTGCAAATAGAAAAGTCTGAAACTGCCTGTAAACCGCACAGCGGGTGCTGGCGCCAATGTTGTTCAAGGGATAGCTAAAGCCATAAATACATCAT